ACCGAACTCCTTATAACATTTACAGAGACCCAACAGTACCACAAACACGGTAAGAGGTGGTCGATGGTGTTAAGGTCCTCTGGAGTTATTTACGTTAGAATTTATTAAGTTAATTGCCATTAAAAAAAGTAAATGTTTTACTTTTTAACTACAAATCTACAAATAAATTTTCTGTCTGTACATACATATATTTTATATTTGCTTAATAAAGTGCCTACGAATGAAACATTGTCTGGAACGAGCTTCCGTATATTTACTCTTCATCGTGTTGTGTTCAGGTTCTCAGGATTTAGTGAATTTTATGGGAAGAAAACTTATGGATAAAACAACCCAATCCATAAAATGAATGATAAAAACTTTAAATCTAAAATCTACATTACAATAAAGTCAAGATCAAGAGACAAAAAGACAAAATGATTAAATAAAAACTGTAGATTTGGACTTCAAATCTTTATTTGGCTGTTTGACTGTTTATTTTTAACTAATTAAACTGAATTGGATAATTATTTTTAAACCATAACTGACTTTTGTTTTGTATTGGCTGAATCGAGCCTCCGTATATTTCTCTCCATCGTGTTGTGTTCAGGTTCTTTCGTTGTTTATCTGTCTCATTTTTAGTCGAACAAGCTCACAAACAGACAGTAACTCACCGCTCTGCTGCAGCCTCGCTCTCTGCGTCCTTGTCTGGTTTTTGGTCTGTGGAGGGTCTCAGTCCGGCAGTCCTGGTTTTAGTCCAGACCCCCTCCTCCCTCCTTTAAACTCTAACAAAGGCTCTGAGAGCTGCTCAGTGAGGCGTGGAGGGGCCCCGCTTCATGCTTAAAGGGCCAACAGCTTAACCTGCTGGACCCTGCTGGACCCTCCATCTGCTCGTTCAATCACTCACAACTTTATTTAAAACGGCTCCGTGGACACTTCAGGTGCAAACAGGTGAAATCAACTCTTACCAGCTGCAGATGAGCTCAGAGGTCGTGACCTTTTAACCAGTTGAATCAGGTTGTTTGATGAAGCTTCATGCAGTCAGTGTGTCAGTGCTGCCTCCTGCTGTCTCTCTGTGGTACTGCAGCTCCAACATCATTCAACATCTCAACTTAAATATCTTAAGTTGTATCTAAATATATTAAAATAATCAGTTTTATGTTTTCTTCATCCAGCTGCAGCTTGACACAAATCAGTGAGTGTAAAAACAACCAATGAAACAACAGGATTCACAAGAGAGCAGCCAATCAGAGCTCACACAGTGAGTGTGTGAGTGTGTG